GGGGGGGGGGGGGGAATAACAGCCTCGCCTCAGACCCCCAAGTGGCACAAGAGCCATTACGAAAACACTGGAAGTGCCAGATACGGAGCCCCTGGAACATCCAAAGTCGCTTTAAGGCAGATCTGACAACGCCACTTCTCTTTCCCATTACAAACCACAGGCTTACCGAAAATCATAGAAATCTGCAAATTCCAAAGCAGCATCACCATCTGTGAAGAGCTTACAGTGGCTTTTGTCATTCATGTGTGCCTGGACAGCCTCCGTGGAGTAAAAGGATTTCCCTTTCTCATTGCACCACAAGCAAATGTTCCCAACACCAACTTTTTCTCCTAGAAAAATATGAGAGATTGCTGCACCTGGATCAAATCTTACCATTGATTTCCACCATTCAAGAAACATGGTCAGGCCCTCCCTCATGGCGCCGCAGGTTAAAGCGCAGCACTGCAAGCTGGCCGCAGCCACTTTAGCACGAGTTCAATCCCCGGCCAGGGAGCTGACCCACATGGGGAGACAGACCTCTCCTGACCCACCCGCTGCTCCTCTCAGCAGTGTTTCAGTAGATCTGTCAGTTCTGCTCCCCACTCTGTCTCTGGTGAATCCTCTGACCGCCCCTGAGCCTCTGGCCTGCACCCCAGTTCTGTATGCATAAGTAAATAAATCTTAAAAAAAAAAAAAAAACACGTTCAAGTTTCTGTCACAAAAATAAGCAGGTAATTTAAAAAGTGAATGCGAATACTATTGTGTTAGTCAGTTATTACTCAGTGTCACTTTATCCACTCATTTAGCAACTTAAAACAGGATTTTGTTCCCTAATACCTGTCCCCAGTCATGTGACATTTTCTTATTAAAAGGAAAACTATCACACTTACCCAAATATTTGATCAGTCCCTTAAGATCCGAAAGATACTCTATGTCAGGAATAAAGAAGCTGTGGACTTTAGTCATATGAGCCACATTTTTCACGAGGGAGCTAGAGTGATGGGAACAAAACAGGCAGTCGGTGATGGGGATGGCGCCAGGCGGGTGCTCCCCGGGGCGCCCCTCGGGGCGCCCCTCCTCGTGCCCCTCCTCCTGCTCCTCTGCTTCCGCAGCCTCCTCACATTCCAAGTCTTCCTCAGAATCGATATCTTCCCAATCTTGGAGTCAGAGACGAGAACGCCAAGTTAGTCGAAGAAAAGCAGTAACCGCAGCCTAGCGACGGTCCGGCCCTGGGCTAGCAGAGTCCCGAGTGCCGGCCGGCGCAGCGTGCGATTGGGCTGGAGAAGCGAGTCTCCAGGTCAGCTGTTCGTGGAGGACCAAGCAGCCCCCGGGCCTCTTCGGGACACAGTGGCGTCCTGAGGGCGGTCCCGCTTCTGCCCCACCTCCCTGCGAACACAGACGCCCGCGGGTGAGGGAAGGCAGGCAGCAGGGCAGGGCCCGCCGCTGGCTCCGGCTCCACTGGAGTTACCAGCCGGTTAGGAATGCCACCCTCACTACGAGCAAGTAATCAAGTGCGAAATCATTGCAACTACAAGTCCGAGTCCGAGTGGGTGCCGCCTGTGCGCACTCGAAGACCCTCAACCAGAGAAAGGGTGAGCTCAGCCTACAAAGAGCAATTAAGTAACTGCCCCCCCCGCCCCACCCCCTTCAGGGCTCCATTCTGCATCCACTACAGTGAGCTGAACGCGTGCACTGGGCGGACGAGTCACTTCCGAGTATGGCATTCCCCTTTCTCACTGTGATCACTTTTAAATGCACACGACCCCCTTCTCCAACCTGGAGGCCAAATCGAGAAACAGCCGGTGTGTGGTGGGGGGGGGGGGGGGTCCCTCCCTCCCCAGCCAAGGCCCTTTACCGTCTCCATCCAGGTCCTCCTCCTCTTCGCTGTCCTCCTCCTCCTGCTGCTTCGCCCACTTCTTCGCCTGCTGTTCAAACCACTGGAGCCTGGGAGACTTCTCGGGCGCGTCTCGGTGGTGAGGGGCCCGTCCCGCCTCGGCCGTCTCCCCTGGGCGCCTGGCCGCCTCCCGCGCCGCCGGGGCGGCCTTCTTGGGGGACGGCTGCGCCCTGATGGCCTGCTGGATGGCCTCGTTCATGGCATCCTTGCCCACGCTGTCCACGCCCAGCCCCTTCTCCAAGTTCTTCTCGTTGAGGAGCTCCACTCTGCGGTTCACGGCCTGCACCGCCTTCCTCTCCAGCTCCACGTGCCGCCGGGACTGCAGGTGGTTCTCGTAGGCCTTGAAGGACGCGAACTTCTTGCTGCACACGGTGCAGTAGGTGGCCGTGCCCTTGCTCTGCTGCTCCGCCAAGGCGCGCTGCGCCCACACCCGCTCCTGGAAGCCCTCGGCCGACACCGGGGCCATGTCGGCCACCTTCCGCCGCAGGTTGTAGCGGTGCCAGTCCGTCTTGTAGTGGGCCCGCTGCGACTCCGCGTCGCCGAACGCCAGCCCGCAGGTGATGCAGGTGTACGTCGCCATCGCCAGGCGGAAGGACGACGAAGACGCAGACGCGACCGGCCGCACCACACAGAACCACAGAACCAGAGCGACGCTGCCCGACCGGCTCCGTCGGAAAGGCCGGCACACCACCGACTTTATAGCCAGCTGAATAGGAAGTCCCGCCTCTAAGCCTGTGGCCACGCCCCCCACCAGGACCGACCTCGGAAGTCTGGGGAATCCTGGGGTAACGAGGCCCCGCCCCCTGACTGGAGGGGGTTGCTGATTGGGTAGATCTGAGACCGGTGCTGACTGGGTAAATCTGAGCGGTGGCCCTGACGTGGGCGCTGATTGGATGGGCTTGAAGTTTCTCTTGCGTCACCACGGTGGGTGTTCATTGAAGGGCGCGGCGCAGGTCTTAGCGTCGGCGCTGTGACTGCTTCGTGTCGCGGTCGCGGTCGCGGTCGCGGTCGCGATACCATGTGACGTGACGCGCTTATGACTGAGCGCAAGGGGCTCCCTGGGCGGCTCCGGGGCCCGGACGGCGCCCTGGCGGGGTCCCGGGTCAGGCGCGTGCTCCGATTCGGAAGACCGCGCGCTGCGACCCTGGAGCCCGGCGCGTGGGTGTCGGGGGCACGCGGGCTGATGCGGGAGCCACTCGCGGTTTGGGCCCCGGGACCTCGCCCGCCCGGCTGGACTCGGCATCACAGGAAAACCCGCAGGCGCAGCCCCGCCCGGCCTTCCCCGGGCCGCCGAGCTGCGGAGGGCGCAGGAGAAGCTCTAGGGAGGAGCTGGCTGGAAGCCGAGTGCACAGCTGCAGTCCAGCCCCCGTGTGCAGTTCTGACCGCACGGTCACGGCTTTTCAAAAACAAACAATGAGGAACGGCTGACATGTTTTGTTTAGCCCAATATACCCTAAATAGTGTCATGTCAGCCTGTACTCTGCAAAAGGTTTCATGAGCGGATTTACAGTCGTGTGCTGAGGACCTAGTGTGTGTTCTACAACTAGCAGTTATCTCAGCCCAGCATCCTCACGTGCAGTCTGAATTGTGTCCCTGGTGTGTAGCAGCGTGCACTTCAGGAAACTAGCTGTAAAGGCTGAGGGCGTTCTTAGCCTCAGCTGCAGTTGCAAGGAACCAGCCAGTGCGCACACAGAAGGAACAGGATCCCCGCAGCCCAGAGCACCAAAAGGTTACAGAAGTTTTCAACATGTTGGTAACTGGGGTTCAGTTGCTCAAAACCTTCCAGCGAATTCCTCTGACTGCAAATAAAATGTAAAGACCTTATTGGTTTGATATAAGTGTTTGGTTCCCTCTCTTCCCCACCCCCCAAATTTGTATGTTGAAAATTCAAAGCTCTTAAAAGCCCAAGTGAGGGTGTTAGAAGCTGGGAGCATTGTGGGGGATGGGGGTGTGAATTAGTGACTGTCTCAGAGGTCACTGGGAGCTATCTCTTCTTCTCCATGTGCAAATACAAGGCCAGGACTAGGATGGTGCGTGAAGAGAGAACATCTTGGCACCCTGACCTGGATCTCTCGCCTCTAGAACCCTCTAAAGTAAATGTGTTTTGTGATAGCTGTCGAACAACTAAGGTGCTTTTTATTATAGGGGCCCTCTATGATCTGTCACCACCCCTACCCAAGCGCTCATCTCCCTCCACTCCTGCTTCCACACTCCGCCCACCCACTTGGGTCACATACTTCTGGGATTCCTCTAACAGTGCTGAGCAAACATCTTTTTTTGTTAGTACGAAGTCGAGGAAACCCTTTCCTCTTGTTGGGGACATTGTTTTGTTGGCTTGCTCTCTTTTCAGTTCTCCACCTATCTGCCTTAGAGTAAGCATAGAGTAAGCATAGCTCCTCTCTCTGTTTTTGTATATTGTATATACTATCCTGTTAGTGATCACATAGTGTCACTTTATCCCCTCACTTAGCAACATGAAACATAACTTTGACTCAGTTTCTGTAAGTGAGGAGCTTGCGTGACTCAGAGTTGCACTGAACATCAGGCCCAGGGAAAGACACGTGAAGGTTTGACTGTGACTGGATCATCTCCAGATGGGCGCTCAGTTACACACTGACAAGAGGCTTTGATTCCTCACAGAACAGACCTCTACATACATAGAGATCCTTGAATGTCCACATAACAAGTTATATCCTCAGAGCGGGGCAACTGGCTTCCCCAGGTGAGTTGCTCACAATTTCCTATGACCTGGTTTTGGAAATCGCAGTCATTTCCACAATGCCCCACTTCCTGTGGGAGGGGCCGTATAAAGACATCCATGAAGTATCTTTGAGGACCTTTTGGGGAGGCCTATTACTGCTTGCATTTGTCACTGATCTACCAGTTATAGCACTGAAAGACTAGTGTGCCAGGTAACCCCTCAATCCTGGGCAGACCAGGGTGGTTAGTTATATCAGATGTTAATCATCTACCCATTGACTACAGATTAAGAGAGAAAACATTAATAAACAGAATCACAAGTGAAAAAGGAGAAATTTCTGTTTAGAAATGCTAAAGATAGCACAGAAATATAAAAGATCCTAAGAGATTACTATAGACACTATATGCCAATAAATTTGATAACCTTGAAAAAAATGGATGAATTTCTAAGTTGACTGGAGGAGGTTATGCTAAATGAAATATAAGTCAAAAGGGGCAAGACAGTACCAGATGATTTCATTCATATTTGAAATATAAAGAACCCCCCCAAAAGGGACTAAACCAAAACTAAACCAAAATAGACCCTTAAAATCTGTAAAATTGAGGTCAACAAAGGGGGAAGGGAGGGAGTAGACACAGAGTGGGAGGGGACCCACGGGAGCGCTGGAGGGCTTGGTGGTGGGCATGGTGGGGAAACATACATCTGAAGAGGTCTGAGCCTCTATTCCTATCATTTTTTGGTAAACTGTTATCTCAGTTAAAAAATAAGTTGAAAAAGTAAAATACTGGTCCTCCCTGGTGGCGCGGCGGGTTAAAGCACAGCATTGAGAAGCTAAAGCCGCTTCTGCATGAGTTCGAGCCCCACCTGCCCTGGAGGTGACCACATGGCGCGGCAGACCTCTCCTGACCCGCCCGCTGCTCCCCTCAGCAGTGGACTTCGTGGATCTGCCTGTTCTGCTCCCCACTGTGTCTCTGGTGAAGCCTCTAGCCACCCCTGAGCCTCTGGCCTGTACCCCAGTTCTGTATGCACAAATAAATAAATCTTTAAAAAAAAAAAGTAAAATACTGATCGCTCTTGATGTATTAAAAAAAATCCCAAACATTAGACAATATATGGGGAAGAAACATTTAGGGTCAAACTGGCTTTTCCCCTTACTGTAAGGTTTTATGACCTTGGACAATTTACTTAAACCTATCTTTCTAAAAAAAAATAAATAACCCCTTAATTGCAGAGTGGTGAGGATCACCAATGATCCTAAGTGTAATTGAGTGTGGCCCACGGATTAGGCTAAGGATTGGCAAACTCTTCCTATAGTTATGTCAGGTAGGATATAGGTCAGGGCTTGTGGGCCCAGGACTGTCAGAATTATTCCATTTTGCCGACACAGCACAAAAACCATGTTCTAATAAATCTTTATGGACTCGGATTTCTGAATTTCATATAGTTTTCACATCATAAGATACTCTTCTAACTATATAAAAACATTTAAAAAAAATATCATTCTTAGCTACAAGCACAGTGGCTTGGTTTTGGCTCCCAGGCTGAATTTTGCCAATTCCAGTCTTAGACATTTAATCCTCCCAACAACCTCTGAGCTAAGTGCTATAAATTTTATTGATGAAGGAAGCAGATGTTAAGCGACTTGCTTGAGCCCCATGCTCTGTGTCAGATTCAGTGCGACTAGCACAGAAGCTCACACATGGTCCACACATGTCTGAAAGAAGACATTTCCTCCCACATTTTCATCAATTTATTCCACCAAATTTACTGGATGACTGAGGCAGCAGTGGCAAGTCATTAAGTGAGCCTAGGAGTTTTCTTGTAAGCAAATGTTTGGTGATAGCCTTGGTTTTAATATTCATAAGATGGCTTGGCTGGAACACAGGAAGAGAATAAAAAAAAAATAGCCCTGTAGGTTTCGTCCATCCCTTCCCTGCACCCCCTGAATGTGCTCCAGACACCTTAAAAAATCCCTCTCAAAATATCTGAATGAGAGTAAGAATTAGCTCCCTGATTTCTTGTTTGGGGATATTTAGACAGTGGCTTGGGGTGTCATTCAATTTTCAAATTGTGTCGTAGGGCCATGATACTAACATCAGATGATGGAATTCTGATTTCTAACATTCTATCTCAGTTTAAACACTGTGATGGAAGTGGAGGGATACATAAAAATATAGCCCCAAGAGTTCTAATTTCATCATGCTACAAATGAGATTTGACAAAAGTTCAGTAAGTTTTCACAACAGGGCCTCCACGGTGGTGCAGGGGTTAGTGTCAGCCTGTCAAGTCCCAAGCAGGGAGTGACCCACAGGGCCAGCAGACCTCTCCCATGGCCTCGTTGGTCACCTCAGTAGTGTGTTTCAGTGGGCCTGCCTGTTCTGTTCCCTGCTTTGTCTCTGGGGAATCCTCTCAGTCCCCTGACACCTCTGGCCTGTACCCCAGTTCTTGTATGCATAATAAGTGAAAATAAATCTTTTTTAAAAAGTTTTCAGAATAATTTCCTATCTTGCAACTAACAGAGCTGGGGCAGTGTGAAGTAATATCAACTTAAATCGTTCTCTTAAATGCAGACTTTCCGTCCGAAAGCAGTGGAATGCCAGCGTTTGCCACATTTGAAAAGGAAGAGAGTTCACTTATATCAAATGTGGGAATACCTAAATACGTTAAAGATATGTCCGCTGCAACACCTTCTTTTCCTAATATTCTACTAAGTGAGGGGGGCAATTTTTTTTAACTCACTTAAAAAAGCAAAGACATTTCAGAATGAGAAGATAAAATGTTGTAAGAATAGATGGACCTTATGTAAATTTGAACTTCTGGAGCCTTTTTTATTTCGAGTCAACATTGATGAGCAATATATGCTGGTTTCCACTGTACAGTTTTCCTTAGGCATTTCTAGTAAGTGCAAAACCTCTCCCTACAATTCCTCTATTTAAAAAAAATTGCGGCCCTCCCTGGTGGCGCAGCGGGTTACAGCTCAGCACTAAGAAGCTAAAGCTACTTCCGCATGAGTTCGATCCCCGCCTGCCCCAGAGGTGACCACATGGCGTGTCAGACCTCTCCTGACCCGCCCGCTGCTCCCCTCAGCAGTGGACTTCGTCGATCTGCCTGTTCTGCTCCCCGCTCTATCTCTTGTGAATCCTCTCACCCTCCGCATCTCTGGCCTGTACCCCAGTTCTGTACGAATAAAAAAAAATTGCTTGGCCACATTCTGCTGACTACACAAACTGTCAAGGTTAAAGGACATGCAGTCTGCTTTGGATTTTCTTTTTTTTTTTTTTTTTGGTAACTGCACCTTCAAACCAGTTTTCTAGAAGTTCATGTAAAACAGAATCACACATATTCTACCCGTCAAAGAAAAACAAAACACACACATACATGGAGAGAAAGAAACTCTCCTCATCCCTGTTGGTTTGAACTGTGTCAGTGTTGCTTTGTGTAAATTCATGATCACACGTGTGATTCTTGAATGGGAGCACCACTGTGCACGTGAGACGATGTGTTCTAGAGCCGATGTGTCACCGCTGGAGTGCTGGTAACATTCTTCTGCCCTGTGAAACTCTCCAGCCCAAACCAAACCCCTTGTAGAGTTTATAGCAACATTTGATTCTAGTTTTATAGTTCATCCCACCAGCCCTTATCTTGTAAACTTGTCCAGTGACTTGAATGATGAAATGGAAATGACCTCTAGGCTTTTGGGATCCATAGCCAAGAATTTTTTCTTTTTAAGATGAAGAAACAGACACATGGAGGCCAAAAAAAAAAAAAAAAAAAATCACAACCTCATCCCTTTCCTCCCCTCTCCCACTCAAAAAAAAAAAAAAAAAAAAAAAAAAAAAAAAAAAAAAAAAAAAAAAAAAGCCCCAGTAAAAACTATTTTATAAATATGTGACTGTATTTTTCTTCATGTCCAGAAACTATAACTGAATCCAATTCAGGTATATTCTTCCCAAACCCACAGCTTCAAAGATCTAACACTGAGTTTTCACTTGTACCAAAATGGGCAAGATAATGAAGGCACAGGCTTACTTTGTGTTGATACGGACATCAAACACAGTCATGAGGCACTAATGACATAAAAGCAAAGTCAATCACAAAAAGCAAGTGTCCAAAGTCTCCAGTAACTTCTCTCCCTAACATTGGCAAAATTTAGTCTAGATACTTTAATACCTCAGAAAATAAATAAATAAGAGATGCTACTTTGAAATATCAGATTCCCTATCATTAATTACTGGAAATATAAGAAAAGGGATAAAATGAAGGGAGAAGGGCGAATAGTTACATCCTTGGATTATCCTTCCTTTCTGAGGGTCTCAGATGCCCATGTATGTGCATCTGCAGAAATGCCAGCTGTCCCTGAAGATTAACGAAATTGCTGGTAGTGGCCGACATGGTCCCTCCATGCTTAAAAGTTTGTGTCACAAAACAAAATCAGCTTGTTTTCTGCTCTCTTGTCCTTTGTTAAAAATCTACAAATTTGGTGAAAGGTGATCGAAACATTTTTAAATAAAGGAACAATATATTCTAGTTTTCCAAGAAACATTACATGTTCAGACTTCCAGGGCAAATAAATACATGTTAAAGGTGAGCAAGTTGTTCTGCCGTAGGAGTTTCGACAGACTAGGAAACAGAGTCATTGTTTCTCTGCTGCTGATGATCGTACATCATAATACAAGGTGGGGACTAGTTTTACAATTTTAAGAGACTTTCTCCATGACATCATAAGAAAGATGAGAGTTTGACCTGGGTCTGGGCAAGCAGATCTGCACTCACAACTACAACTCAACTCCCGACTACAATTACAAGACAACTGAACCACAAAGCACAACTCAACTACCGTTGACGTCATAACCACCGTCTAAGTGACAGGCAGTGACTGACTTGCTATGGATTAATGCCACCCATCACAAGGTCAGGGCTGGCAGTCAATGGTGATGCCCTGACAGCAAACCTAGTTGACTACAGGAATACATGGAAATGGATCAGCGTGTTTGAAGTTGTAAAATATATTTTTCTATTTTGTCCTAGAGAGTTAATCTTGATAGTTTTCCCAAGTCCTTCAGCTAAAGACAGCTTGATCATGGTATCTTCTGGCATCAGAAAGTAACCCCGTTCTTGTCAGTCTCCAAATGGTAGGAACAAAGGAGTTGGTATGGCATGAATTTGCAAGGAATTGTCAGTAGTTCAGTGAGTTACAAGAAACTATTTTTGCATGCTTGAAAAATATATTTTCAGGAAAAATGAAAGGATACTTATAGGAGGATCTCAGTAAGTGGATGTTTTCCTTTTTTTGCTTTAAAAACAACCCCTAAAATTCTTTTCTGACAACACAGTATGTATGCATAGATATAGAAAGTTCACTTCCATGCTAGTTACATAAAAACTGACAGCAAAATAACAATCTATCATGTCACTTGATATGTGTCCAATTAATTCACTGCAGAAGGGGAAATAAGACCCCCCCAAATCTAAAGTAATCAGCAAAGCTCACAGTTCAAAAACTTTTTTTTGCTTGTTTGAAATTTTTTGGTAGTTTATCTGTGTTCTGTTGTGCAAGCCAGCTCCCAGACTAATGGCCTCCTCCCAGCAGATTTGAAAGGAAGCCTGAAGCCTTCTTGTTTTGCTGTGCTTCCGCCTCCTGGTCTGGAGAAAGTCCCAGTTCGCTCTCAATTTGGTCAAGCTCTGACTGGTCAAGTAGTTCAAAGTCATCACCTTCTTCGTTGTCTGTATCCTCTCCCGGACTGGGGGCAGCCTGACGCCCACCCTCTAACTGGTCTCTGACAGCAGCCGCCACTGCGGCCGTGATCACCTCCCCCGCCAGGCTGCTCACCAAGTGAGCGGCTTGGTCACTGCTCAGAGGAAGGGTGAGACCAGCGGCCAGCGGCCGTTCTTTGCTGGCGCCGACGCTGCTCTCCAAGTGCCCCTTTTTTCGCTTGAGCGTGGAGGGCAAGCCAAGGCTTAACTCGTCTTCATCGTTGGTTCCTGTGCCATTTTCTAAAGATGGAAGATCTGAAAGGTCTTGAGAGAAAACTTCCTCACCAGGTCGGTCGAGATCTGTGAAATGTGCAACAGAAGGTCATGTTTAAGCGCCCTCGGAAGACTAAACAGTCCCTGATTAGAACCTGAATGTAAAGAACTAGAGAACAGCCTTGAAACTCTTGAGCCTTCTGTGTACATTTCAAAGGACTTACCCAGATATTAGACCCCTCCCAGGCTGGAGAGGCTTTCTCCACCAGGACACAAACACTAGTCTACCTCCACTGACACTGTTGTTTAATATTGTTACTTAAAGACCTCACTTTAGCTGGAGGCTTTGACTAACTAAAGTGTCAATGTTTGCCTTAAAAAAAAATCTTGATGCTGGGGAGAAGATCTACTTGAGGCCATGTAACTGTGACTGACCACAAAATTAAATATTTCCAACAGAGGTAAACAGCGGCTCTGGGATAGCAGGTGGAAAATATTGTTGGATGCTAGTGTTTTCATCCACAGAGTAGCTGTGACTTGTTTACAGCAGTAAATAAAAAACTAGTCCTCCTTCTAGTCGGTGTTCAACCTAACATGCATACAGTTGGCGCTCCATAAAGACAGCTGAAACCGACTGTGCCCTTTCAAACTCCTGTCCAAATATATATAGAATCACTTGAAGATTTGGACCACCTGAAAGCAATATCAGGTTCATAGACTGATTTTTTTGTTTCACTTTTCAGAGAAAAAGTGTCGAGTAATGGGGTCGGCAGTTCAACTACTACACTAAGTATTTTCAATGAACAGTTAAAAAGTGATAGACTGAAATTCTGATAAACAAAGAAAACTCTTGAAACAGTGATGTGAAGCCTTCAGCTTATTAATAAGTCTCCGACATGGGTTGGCGTGTGTTACCTCTTCTATTATATCGATTAGACTGGAAGCTGAAGAACCAAGCAACTGTCGTTGTTTGAGTGGGACTCAGTGATCCTCTTCGAATGCACATTAAAGATGAGAAAAGCAAGGTCCATAGTCCATTCAAGCTCACACAGTTAGCTAACAACCAAGACAAGACCACACTCGGGTCTCCCAATAGCCAAGCCCTCTCCTCTCAGACAGTGCATCGCCTTCCTCCTTCCTCTAGAAACTTTTGCTCTTGTTCGCAAAAGTTTACTCATAGCCCTCCATATTATGACCTGTTCATATTTTTAGCATGTGACTGAAAGACTTGATGGACATGAGCAAAGTGACCAGCAAAAGCTAAGCGCCTGTACTTCTGCCCCAGGTCTCCCTCACCATCCGCTTCCATCCTTCTGGATTGACCTGTTTAGACATTTCATACAAGTAGCTCTACATTACTGGCTTGGGTGTCTGGCTTCTTGCACTTGGTATGTCTTCATGGTTCCTCCATGTTATTGAGGTGCAATGTACTCCACTGTGATAGTGAAACTCCTTTGGATAGCCCTGACGAACCACAGACAATAGAGAGAGCCTATGTGCGGTAGCTGTGTCTGTCATGCAGGACTGTGTGAGGACCCCATGTCATTCTCGCCATGACGAAGTGGCCCGAGGGCGCTTCTCAGGATTCATCCAATTGAGAGCAAGGCATGCGTGTATAGTTAGGCCTTGTTTTGTTAACCTGCAGAGCAGGTGACAAGAGTTAATTATATTGGCATTCATTGAGTACCGAGGTGGGAGCTTACCCTCCGAAGTGTCCGTCTGTGGCGTGTATCCTTCAGAAAGGTTGAAGGTCCCATTGTCTGTCCAGGAGACCTCAGAGACGTCCGTGTCGGACACAGACATCTCCCTGGCAGCAACCGTGAGGCTGATCTGTGTTAAGGTAAACGCCAGAGGCACAGTTTAAACTTCAGTGGAAAAGGGTTTGGAAAAATACAGACCAACACCAAAAATGTCGAAATGAAAAACAGATAAATATTTTCTTTTCAAAACTGTTCAAATCACTTACAGACAATTGATGTCTACTGGGAAAAACTATTTGGATTTTGGTGAATATAAATGAATTTACAGTCAAACCACACCAGAACAAGTTGGAAACAACACAAAAACTACCTTAGGACAAAGAGCGGAAAAGTCTAATTCACTGTCATCTTTGTGGCTTTTTTCTTTATCTGCTTCTGTTGAGGAAAAGAAAATTAAAGTTTTCAGTTTCCTGACCAGCCTAGACATGATGCACTTTATCTTTACCTCATGCTCTATCATAGTCTTCAATTCCTACATAGATTGCAGTTAGACGCTTGCTCATGATAAGTCTCATCTATCTGCAGGTATCTGGCTTCCGAAGGAAGCAGCCCAAACAGCGGAGGTTCACAGAGTGTCATTTCAAATCAGCAGCATCAACTTAGCTGGGAACTTTTTCAGAAATGCAAATTACCAAGGTTTTACCCTCAACCTAGAGAATCAAAAACACTGGGGTAAATCCAGAAAATGTTTGCTCTAATAAGCCATTCATACAATTCTGAAGCTTTGCTAGAGTCTGTATATTAACAAGATCAAGTCAAAAGAGGGAAAATCGTAACAATGGTTTTCCTTCACTCCCCTCTTAAAACAATGTAAGCAAAATAAGTCATAAATAGCAAATATATATGATCTATGTCCCTTCTCTGACAATTTGGATTGAAACATCGCAATTAGAGGCTCTGTTGTTGGGAGGCATTATCTTCTGTAATAATATTTAGTAAAACTAGACTATGGTACATGGGTGATTTGGTGATGGGAAGCCCAAGGGGATTGCAAATGAGATGGGAAAATGCAAAAAATGATGTAAAAATAAACTATTATGTATAAAAAAATTAAGATAAAAAAATAATATTTAGTAAAAGGTTAAGAGCACCTGAAATGTCATGAGAGCAATTTTGTAATAAACGGCCTCCTGATATTTCATGCGTGGAGTCTAGAATCCAAACTATTTACCCACCAGATCGCTCACGTTTCTTCTGAGTAATATAATCTCCGATTCCAAAATCTAATTTCAACAAAACGGACTTGATTTTGCTGTATATCTTCTGTCCAATTTCATTGCATTTAAATAGCGGACACAAGAATGCACACAGTACTGAAAATAAGAAGAGAATATAGGTAAGACAGGCTTTCGAGAGAAAGGCTCTATCTTCGTATTCACAAAAACATTTCATGTCTTGTACTGACAAGTAGAAGGTATTTTTCCTCAGAGAGCTGCCTCTGTGAATGAAGTTCTAAATTTCTATTCTTTCCCCTGTATGAAACATTAGTTTGCTTACGTGTACATGCTTAAGGGCACACACACACCCCTTAGTCATTATTTTCAAAGACAGACTATTTAATTGACTTCCTCCTTCTCTCCTTTTATCCTCAAAAAGTGATATAAAGATACATGCTTTCCAGAAAACAGTGCTGAATTAAAATGTCTACTTATTGGTTCAGTATTATTACTTACGGAGGAGATAGCTGAGTATAACCCCAGGAATGTAACTTCCCAAAATGGTGAAAAATGTACACACACTGCAGACCAGAAGACAAAACTAGAAGTGAGAGAGAGAACACGTTGTGGTTAGGGTGACTCGCGGACACAGGTGTAGGCGCGAGCATGCAACCGAACTGTCCTTTTACACTCAGGTCTGACAAAAACGACTGTGCTCAATCAAGCAGCCTTAGCTCACACTGCCACTTACTAATCACTTTCAGGTTCCAGGAGCTAACTTCTGGCACCAAGTCTCCCGTTAATCATCCCACTGACACTGACAGATACCAGAGAACTGAGCAACAGACGCCCAGACACTCCTTTTACTGAAAATCACTCACTGAAAATACGCAAACTGATAACTCAGTCCGCAAGTTCAGACTTCTGCAGGCCCACTGAAATATATCAACACAGCAAAATTAGAGGCTCAGACATAAAAAGAACTGACGAGTTGCTGGGATAAGTTTACTTGTCATCAGTTCTCTCCTTCTAAGTATATCTATATCTCAAACTGACCCCACTACCGAGTCACGTGGAAACCACCTGCAAATAAAAGGAAATTCTGATAGTGAGGTATGATTTTCCTTCTGTCAGTTAAGACCCATACATCTTGGTTGCTGCTTTAAGACATTTAAGCCTCAAGACAGAAAAATTCCTCCCCTTCATTTGTTTCCTACACTGTTTTGGAAAGAAAAGAAAAGAAAATCATTTATCTTAATATCTGGCATTAGACAAAGAAAATGTTATCATTAAATTCTGGTATTCAACTGATAAAGAAAATGTGTTGAGTGAATTTCAGAAAGACACCTGTGTAAGAGATGCATAACTAAGAGCAATAGTAAGAGGATCTAAAGTTCAGGTGAACTTTGACTTTGCATCATTAGATATTAGATTTACTGAACTGAACAAAAGAACAGATGAACATACACAACAAAGCGAATAGTCATTTCCGAAATAGCAGGAGGGTGTGGAATCCTAACAGTAAAATGGGAGCAGAAACACCATGAAGTGGAAAGAAGAAATAAAGTCATAAAAGCATTTCTATATCCAGCACTCAGTTCTACAAAAGAATACCATCTTATGCACTAAATTTGTGGCATCATAATTTAATTGACTTGAGGTACATCTAGCTGGCTTGAGGTAATGGACCCAATGCAGATGCTTTAAGTTTAAAGCCTTCCAAAGAGGTGGTTAGTCATTTCAGTAAAATAGGGTGGAGAGCGTCCACTCTCTCAAAAAGTCCCCTCAAGGACTATGTGTGCATGTCACACCCTGTGACTTCAGAATCAGAACAAATACTACACATGGAAGTTCTGAGGAAGAATTTTTTTTCCTCCTTGGCCTCCTTGAAGAGCAGACCGATCACCATCCATGTTAGTTAATGAGCAAGATAAATATGAAAAAAAAAAATGGAAGAAAAATGAGAGTGTCAGAGAACATGAAATGCAGAGAAACCAACAGGAAAGACCGTGTCGTCTTAAAAACAAACCAGAAATATGGGTAACACAGAACACCGTCTAATTTCAAAATAAGAAACTGCAGGTTTTCTAGGACAACCGTATCACACGTATCTGAACCCTGCTTCTGTGGCACAGACTTCTGTAACATTCTGAGCTGGTAACAGCACATATTAAACATTACAAGATGATAAAATCGTTCCATCTGGTTCCAACTTTACTGCACATTTCAAAGCACAGTTATTGTCCTTCTGGAAAACTTGCCTTGCCGGGACTCTGCTGTTTGAAATGAGACATTTCTTGGAGAAATGCGCTGAAATTCATCCATGACTCTGCAATACAGTGGCTGAGCCTGGGTCTTTCCTCTGACTTGGAATTGATAACTTCCCAGCTAAAGAGAGAAAGAAAAAGCAAAAAAAAATGTTCATTGAGCTTTCGGATAATTCAATATTCACTACTCCAGAAAAATTAACTGAGCGCTTACTGCAGGCCACGCTTCTCTGTAAAGGCCTTGTCAATTCAGGTGACCGAGCCCCATAGCCACCGAAGGAAAACTCACATGCCAGGAGAGAGGCAGGCGGAGCAACTGGCTACACGATTACCCAATGACAACAGGTGGAATATGAGGAAGGGGTAGGAGCTTCGGGATATCAGAAGGCCTGGGAGAGTCCAGGTTGAACAACGTGTAACACAAGTGGACCACGGAGGAGGTGGAATCTGTCTCCTGGAGCCCGGATACAGCTGCACAGTGAACAAGAAGATTGACACTTGTGTGTAGCTGGGTGAGGCCCAGTTCAGAGCCAGGCTTGAAGGTCTTTATGTGAGATGCTCTCAAGTTTAAGGACAGGGAAGTGTTGTGCAACCACCCAGGCCAGCTCACTGTTGATTCGGGTAGATGGAAAGAGAATTTTAGAGTCTTCTGTCTCTCTACAGGCCTGTAATGCTGAGTCAGGCAACCAGGCACAGACAGCCACTGCCAATGCAGGGCGTGATGGGTCCACTCAGCAGAAAACTCCAACTCGGAAGGGCCTCACCATACCTCGTGTTTTTCCAGACCACCTTTTGCCAAACAGCCCGGTATGACACACAGACCAGGCCACATGCAATGTCACTACCTTTGCTTCCCCAGAACCCCAAATGAACTAAAAACCGGTGACAACGACTCCCAGAAGGAACGGTTCATCCTAGACTAATCCTAATAGGTCACTGTAGTCCTAACGTGTTAAAATTCAGCATCAAAAGATAGGGTTTGTTTTAAGCCATAAATTTAAGAATTTAAATTAAAAATGTCATGTGTAGGACTGCAAATTGCTGAGTTGTGTTATGAGCCAAATAAATCAACCATCAAACTTAAAATCTGGATGATTTTTCTGTAAAAATCCACTTATCAAGACCATGCTGAATTAAATTGGTCTGTACAGTTTAGTAACAAATTCACACGGCACTGGCCAGGGCTCCAGAGTGCAGTATATTTTGTCGCCACTAGGCGGAGCTAGAAGACTGAGAAATGGGACATTCTTGGGATCCGTAACTACAGACGGTAAATGCTTTAATCCAGCTCATGAGCAGACAGCCTGTCTCATGTGTTTCGCCCTAAACATCTTTGAGCACTAGAAAAAATAATGTTGAAGCAAATGAATCTTGACTGAGAACACATATCCTCCCTTAGCCTCACAACCTTCCTGTTCATTCTCAGAAAATGGACCTTGCATGCACTAACTCTTCATCACCGGTCCTGGCTCCAGGGATTGGAGATGACCCCAACGTGGGAGCCTGAAATGGTGACATTCCTCACACACAAAAGCCACTTTTATAGAACAAAGAGTCAAACTGGGAAATAATTCAAGGCTAAGCCTGAGTGGGCTCTCCAGACCTTTAGGGGACAGTCTTTACCCGTGTGCATTTTACAGAAAGGTACATCTTTCTGCATCCACGTTGGAATGTAGAAGCCAAAGAGCATGGTTGTAACTCAAAGTGATATGTCAAAAGAACAAGTCTGGCCCTCCCTGGTGGAGCAATGGGTTAGGACGCAGCACTGCAAGCTGGCTGCAGCCGCTTCAGTGCAAGTTCGATCCCCGCCCCTGAGCTGACCCACATGGCTCAGCAGACCTCTCCTGACCCGCCCGCTGCTCCCCTCAACAGTGTCCTTCGTCCATCTGCCTGTCCTGCTCCCCACTCTGTCTCTGGTGAATCCTCTCACCGCCCCTGCACCTGTGGCAGGTGCACCTGTACCCCAGTTCTGTACGCATAAATAAACGAATCTTTTTAAAAAGAGCCTGATTTTTTTTTTAATATATCAAGAGTCTCCTGTAAATCTAAAGCTGTCCTTGAGCTTTAGATTTAATTGCCAATAAGAGACAGGCATATTGCAGTGGACAGAGGGAGGGGTCATGGGGGGAGCTGGGGACGGGAGGCTGTGAGGGAGAACCCAGCAGGTCCGTCTGGACAGGCCTGGGGGGAGTCCAGCCTCTTTGGGCCTTAACTCGGCTTCACTTTGGCTTCTGGCATCTACAGCACAAAATTAAGCAGTTCATCTTCCAGTGCGAGCAAGGAAGCACCATCTAAATTGTGAGGTAGAGCTAGCTACAGAGAAATGAGTGCAATGAGCCATCCTCAGGTGACATTTTCTAGCAGAATGGAAAGACCAAAGAGGGGAAGAACTGGAGTCAGGGCAGTCGGTGCACATCTGCGTGGAGGGAGGGCAGGCGTGAGGGCGAGGCCTCGCTGGGCACAATGCTGCCAACCTGCCAGCTCATCCTTGCACCCTTAGGGCCATCTCGCCTCAGATGAGGGAGCAAAGACACCCACACTTCAAGGCAGGCCTCAGACAGGCCATGGAGCCTGGGGCATGGAGGTGAGAATGTTCACAGCCGAGTGAGAGCCAGGAAGAGGCCCTCCACCCCCTTCACCCCACACAGACTGAGCGCAGAGGACGGCAGAAGGGGAAGGACCGTCCTAAATGCCAAGCTACAGAAATAGAGATCTCGAAAGTGTGACCTGGCTCCCAGAAGAGGCTACTGCCGAGGGCCTTCCGTCACTTTCTCTCACTCCGGCTGTTTCTCCCCTAGGCCCACAAAGTGGCCCCACGTTCTGTGCTGACCCCTCCCGCCCGGGAGCGCGGCCTCCTGGCGCCAGGTGCCCTGAAGGAGACGGTGCTGCTCCTGCTGGCACCACCCAGTCCTGGGGCTTGTGGGAAGGGCTGAGGCCAGAGTGAGGTCAGCAAATAAAAGCCCGGTTTGGTTTTCCTAGGCAACCCCAACCCCTGAGAACATGTTCTGATACTCTGGTCTCTGCTCTCCTCACACACCACACGTACAGACTGCACACACCAGGGCCCTCCCTGGTAGCACAACGGATTAAAGAGCAGCACTACGAAGCTATCAGCAGTCACTGCACCAGGAGTTCAATTCCCAGCCCGGAGCTGACCCACATGGCGGGCAGACCCCTGCTGACCCGCCCGCGGCTCCCCTCAGCAGTGTACTTCGTCCATCTGCCTGTTCTGCTCCCCGCTCCAGCCCGGAGCTGACCCACATGGCGGGCAGACCCCTGCTGACCCGCCCGCGGCTCCCCTCAGCAGTGTACTTCGTCCATCTGCCTGTTCTGCTCCCCGCTCTGTCTCTGGTGAATCCCCTCACCGCCCCTGCACCTCTGGCCTGCACCCCAGTTCTGTATGCATAGATAAATCTTTACAAAAAAAAAAAAACCACACACACCCCTTCTAGTCACTTTCGAGTTCCGCCTTCCCAGGAACTCACACTGCAACCATGACTGGCGAAGCCGAGAAGAATTCTGCAGCAACAGGAGGGAAAGAGCACAGTGGATGCTGACTGAGGCCAGAGAAGGGGGCAGGTGGGAGGTGCGGGGGTCTGAAGGAAGAGGACTGGGGTTTCGGTGGGTGGGTATAGCGAAATAACATGTATTTGCAGGGGTGTAAACCCACACAGACCCCCAAAGACATCAGGTGATGGGACGCAACTTTCCTTCAAAAGCCACAACCATTCTCCCACCCTGCCTCTGGGCAACACGCTGTTCCCGTTGTTCAGCTTTGTTTTTCAATCTATAAGAACTGGGCCTTGAGGCCAAGATCCCACACTGACAAGTTTTCTTAAAGGGGGATTGTTCTACCCTCAGAGGCGGTGACAAGCAACCCTCACACCTATAAATACGAGTCCAGGGCCGCCAGCCTTTCGCTCTCGGCTGCTGACTAATGGTCTCATGCTCTGCTGGTCGTGAACATCTGCCGTGTTAAGTCCTGTCGAATTTTTCTTAGAAAGGTCAGTCGGTCTCCAGTTACGGGCTGGAGCATTTCTTCGTGTAATGTGTTAGAATTTGTTTGTAAGCCGACGGCTGCGTACTCAGTTCCTCCGTGAGTGCATGCGTGAGTGTGTGCAGGCAAGCGAGCAAAACAGAGCCCAGCCTGTGTTTCCCTGGACAAACACTCACAGAATTAGAAGCATGACGAGGCAAATAAGATGTGTCAGCTGGAGGATTAAAAAAGCAAACACAAGATTAAGAAATGACATAGCACTCGACTTAAAACCTTCACTTTCTCGGACCACTTAGCCACGTGAGCAGCTCCCCTTGACCAAGCCCTGGGGCCGCGAGGCGCCACTTGAGTGCCAGCTCGTTCCCCAAGAGGCAGAGGCCCACCTTGCTTGGGCAACGAGGTGTTCTGTCTTGGACTCTCTTCCACCAAATTTCAAATGAAGCAGAGACCGGTCACTCTGTGAACTGTTCCTTTCCCCCATCTTAATCTATGCATCACCACATCCCCATTGCTTAGATCCTCAATGATCTAACCCATGGAGAAAATTTCAGGAGGCTGGAACTAAACTTCTATCAAGGTCCTTCTAGGTCACTCAGTTTTCTATGATCAGATGCCAGCTAGAAATCATTTTTAGTATTTTCAACTTGAACTACTTTAACAACTACACTTGCATAAGCCCAGGGCATGAACAATTTAAATTCCAGGGCCAGCTCAGAGCAAGCACCCACTTGAGACAAGCAGGAGATTAAACACCTTTCATTTGTGAATGCCAAGATTTGCTTCCGTCACTGTCACTGGGGGAAGATGAGGCTCCCACCTTATCCCTGAAGGACGGATCACATGTGAGAGCCAAGAAACTCTCTACTTGGGAGCCACCTTTCCAGCGAAATCTAATCCAGGCTTTACTGTGGTTGCCGTCAGAAGTAAATGCTCTCACCTTTGGCCTAGTTATATAAGCAACTTCAACTTCATTCATTAAATTCTTTTTTGAGATATCTTGAGCTAAGCTCTAGGTGTACACATTTAGAGACGTATGTCGCCACACTACATCCACTGAAGCACCCATAATCCCCCACCATGGTCCACGCCCACGCCCTGCTCCCTCCCTGCCCTTCTGTTCCTTT